ATTTGCTGTTTCAAACTGCATTTTGTTTGCTTTGAACTTGAAACCATAAAGGAGATATGTAGTAACTTGGCAAAGCTTGCTCAGAATGTTTACAGATGTCAGCATCTCTTTTTACAAACCTAAATTTCCAGGTTTCCAGAGGTGTAAGTTATACATATAGAGTGTCCAGTCTGAAAATGCCTTCACCGAAAAGGGTGCTGATGGCTCTAAGGACGAGTCAGAGACTTAGTGGAGGAACTGCCCAGTCTTTACAACCACTTGTAAGCAGATGCACAGCTACCCTCTGCAGTAGGTGATCCTCCGGTTTGGGCTGAGCAGTCAAGAACGAAGAGAGTAGGAGATGATTTGGCTGTTAAATGAAGAAAATTTGGCTTGTACATACTGCGTGGATAGTGATTTCAATATCAGGCTGAGAAAGGCATCAATCTACTGCATAATTTTGCTGCATTTCATGCCGCCTACACTTTAACTCTCCAAGAAGACTGTCCTTAATGGGATTTGAAGAAGCGCAGAATTGTCTTTGAACACTTTTAATATCCTCCTATGAAACTGTCTTAAACAAAATCAGATTTGTTGTCCCGGGCAGGCCTTTATCTTGTTTTACCTCAAGGAACAAACCACACTGAATTCAAGGGGACTGACTGCACTGTTTTCACTGGGAGTTTGATCTAGATCATCCCAGCAGAGAGCAAGAATGGGGGACAGACTCATGCCATACTGATTTTCAGAAGTTCATTTGCGTTTATACACCAAAATTATACCACTGAAATACAAAGAAATATCACCTAAGCCTGCTCAAGTTCAAATGTTCTCTTTTCTCAGCTCCTCATTAACTGTTACTGTATGTTAGCCTCACACTTATTACTTGCAAAGCTCTGCCACTGACACAAGACTACAGTTTTACCAAAATCTTTCACTAGCTATTCAGCTTAACTAAGTCAACAGCAGCAAAATGCTGCTTTTTTTTTTTTATTATCAAGGCATCTCCTGTTTTATTCTGTGCTAGAATAGTAAGCCTACCTAAAATTTTACTTGGAAAAAAACCATCAGTTGAAATCTTAAATGTCAATTATTTCAGAAATGTATTTCTACATCACTTCTTCAACACCCAGCTGGTTATGACTTAATGAAAGAATTGCTTACTTCAAAGACTTGGACTTTGTTGGTAAAGATCCTTTAAATAGACTTGAATCTTCTAGCATTTAGATGGAACAAGTGTTAAAATGTTAAAACTGAATATACTCACCTACTTATATTCAAAAAAGAATTTGGGAGCTTTTAAAAAGGGTAAAATTGGGGAAATAAGTCTCGGCCCTGCAGAAAGACACTTCCAACTATAAGTAATTCTCTAGCTCTCCAATAATGAAAAGGAATCTATGATAGACTGCAAAATAAAAATCAAGGGCAATTCAACTAATAGGTTTAAAAACTATGGTATTGATAAATTGACACATAAATAGTTGCAGCCTCTTTTAGCAGTGCAAGGGGTCTGGTTTAGAACGGTATTTACTTTGGCTATGAGCCCAATTTTACAGTAGGAAAATTGATTTTAAACACAAAAGGCACATTTTCTTTCACAGAGCAAAATTATTACTGGAAATAGTTCCAGTAATATAAGTATTTTGTTATAAATCTTAAATTAAATCACTATTTGAAACAATTTCTCAGAAAGGAATGTATTGGAATTCTGCTGGCTGCTCTAACCAGTCAGTCTAACAGCATTTTCACGTTTTCTAACTTACAAAAAGATGGCAACAATGGGAAAAAATAAAGGCTTAACGCATATCAGAATCTATATTCCCATTACTTCTCAAGTGCCATTTACTGCTGTGGAGACAACACTTAATGTTATGATAGAGACCTTGAGAATGAAAGATCACCACATACAAAAAAAAAACCCCACCAGGACAAGAAATTGCTCTGTTGGCACAAGCGTCAGCCCTGCAGAGGACTGTGCAGAACATATCGATAACCTCTTCCTAATATGAATTTAATTCTAATGCAAGTGTTGATCTCCTGCCTGCTGTACTGTTGAGTACTACATGTTACATTAAAATGTCTAATATTAACTGCTAAGCTTCCACCCAGAGTCTGACTTTATGTCTGTGTGAGCTGAGTATATAAATAAATCTCACGCTGTGGTGGATCCTCTCAGGCAAGCTGAGACCGGGATCTTCCAGAGGGAACTGCAACCACCCTTGGCTGCACTGAAACGCTGACCAAAAGGATGGCTTACCCCTGGACTTCCACGCCATGTCTGCATGCCCAGTCTTGATTTCTTTTTAAAACAGGCACAGAAGTTAATGGCAACATTCCCTTCCTCAGGCTCTTCTGGGATTCTTGGGCCAACTCTTTTTTATAAAACCCAAACTGATGCTGGTTTTTTTTTTTTTTTTGGTTTGGTTTTTTTTTAGAGCATTTCACATCTGTAGAGCCATCTAAATGAATGGCTTTCTCCAACATCACAGAGTCATAGAACAATTAGAATTGGATGGGGCTTTCAGGAGGTCACATAGTCCAACCTTCTGCTCAAAGCAGGCTCAATACTCAATTCAGACTTCTCTACACTATAATCCATTAACAAGTGATTCCAGCTCCTCTGTTCACACCCTGAATTTCTCTGCCCCTCCCTCTATGCAAACCCCTCTTCGGTCAATAAAGAACCCAAGAAGAGAAACCATGCACTGCTAACATACTGGAAATGCTTTGAATACATCAATAAAATAGTAGGAAAAGGGGAGAAAGTGACATAATTTATTAGGATTTATAATAAGCTCCTAGAAGATTGCTCTCTAGGGACTGCTAAGAAAATAATGTCATCATGGGTATGAGGAAAACTACTGCCCATAGATCAAAAACAGGCTACGAGAATTGAGAACAGGCAAAATATTGCATCAAGCCTAATGATTTCCCCTGAAACAGGGTAGCGAGGAATTACAGAGGCATTCCAGTATGAGCGAAAAGAGGGACTGGAGAGGCAGAGAACAACTCTCAAAGTAGTGGAGAGAGGCCTCGGGCTAAAGATGGGGATCTGAAACTTCTGCTGTCTTGTTCCTTATTAAAAGTGGAAGAGGAGATAGCCAATGAAGTCAGCAATGTAAAATTTCATAAAGAAACTGTAAGAAGCAAAAAGAGAATACTGAAACTGCTTGATGCCCTAGGATGGCTGTTGAAATCAAGGATATAGCACCACTTAAAGAAACATGATGCCTTTGCACAGGTAATAGCCCTATTCAGACTTGCAGGTTAACTTGAAACTCAAGTCACATTTAAAATCTTTGTGTTTACAGCATTAGTCCCAAACTATGCATACACACAAATGGGGGGGGAAGACAACACAAAACCCCAAAAAACCCCACAAAAACACCACCCCAAATACCCAAACCACACAAATGCTTAGAAAGTGGACAGACCGCTCAGTATATACTAAATGCCAAGACCTTTTATTTGCACCTTTTCCTGGTGTATGTGATAGTGATCACGGATCAGAGTCAGATTACAGTCTATCTTGGCCGTGTGGTATTACTTGTAGACTGCTGAAATAAGAATGCCATAGATGATGGCAGACTTAATGTGTGCCACGTTTCCTATCTGGGAATGATGTGCCACTGAATGAAGCTTATTCCTTGCAGCCAGGCATCAGTGTTACATACGTCACACCATAATGAGATTCTTATCCAGAAATTGAGGACAAAATGACACAGTGTCTGAAATGAATTCTCAAATCAAATAATGAAACTTGAATAATTTAGAACTAGTACTTACAAATATAATTTAAAAAAAAAAAAGAAAAATAAATTTCTTTGAGGTCTTTGAACTCAGAAACACATGCATACCTGGCAAGATTATGGTCTTCTTCATAGGTGCACTGGCACTTAGATGCACAAGCACATAAAACTAACAAAAATACTCTTTGCCGCAAGCTTTTTGGATGGGGTTTTTTTGTGCGTGTTCCTTATCCTATGGCTGGTGCTTTTAGGTGCTCCTTTGTTATAAATAGAAATTCTCCTATTCATCATTTTCTATCGTTCTAATTTGAGAATTTATTATGTAGCCAGGCAAGAAAAATCAATAACATCTGACCTGAATGAACCAGGTATTATTCACAGCAAATCGCTGAAGTGAGCATTTTTTCCTTAACTTAAAGATTTAACTTTGAAAATAAGTTTCAAAATGTTCATCCACACCAGTCATGATTACTTATGAATAACGGATGCATCTGAAGAAAACAGGTCTGGTTCCAAAGCAATTTTCCACAGAAAAAAGATCACAAAATTAGTCAGATAATGCACCTACACTATAGAAATCTGCCCAGCTCTCCTCTCAGCTGTACCAAACTCAGCTGAGTCACCAAGCTGGATGGCACAGTCTTGTGATGCCGCCATCTGTGTCGCACTTACTCTATCGCACAACTACCATCAACTCAGCACCTTTCAGGAACACTGAATGAACTCAAAAAAGAAGGAACATTGTCTTCTCCAGGCCCGCCTCCTCAAGTTCTTCGGTCTACAAAAGCTCACTGTAATGGTTTTACATTTATGAAGAGCAGCTCATTCTCTGACCTATATTCACACCACTGCTTAAGCTTCTGGCCATCAAAAAGATGCCAACAAGCAGGAGAGACTCACCACACAATAAACAATTCTACAGAATGTAAAATCTTACACACTGTCTCTTGAATTGTCATCTTATATTTCTACAGCCCAAAAAAACAAGTGAGCTCGCTAAAAAACTTTTATGCTTCATAAACACTGTCAGAATAGAAAGCCAGATAAGTTCTCCATTTATCAGCTAACTCTAACCAAGAAGTTATCAAATAAACCTGTAAACGTTGATGGATTTTGGAAATAAGATTTCTCTGAGGTGTTGTGAAATGCTGACAGAACCATAAATGCTCACAAGCAAAACATAATCTATTGCAAGCCTATAAAGATGTAATGAGACTACTTTCAACAGAATTAGGGATTTGACAAAAATCACCCTGCTAAATAAATATGTACCGTAGTCGTTATCATAAAAAATAATGAGTTTCTGCCAGGCGTATTCTGTGACCACCCTCAAAATGACATCATTCAAGTAGACAGGGGGGCGGACGGAGAGCGTGTAGTCATCGTTGCGGTTGCTCCTCGTCAGCCCGCAGCCGCTCCTTGGCGTTCCTGCTGTTGAGCGCTGGATGAAGAGGTGAGGGATGTGCATGGCATCTGCCAGGGACTGCAGGGATCCTGCTGAGGTGCAGCCGATGGAGCTGACAAGGGCCAGGATGCCTTGGTTCATCAGGTCGCAGGCTGTAAGAGAACACAGTGATACTCAAGGTGAGGGCGGCTCAGTGCAGGGGGCCGATTTTGCTGGTGAAACACAGAACAGGTTCAATCAAGTGAAGTACAGATAAAATTTTGCACATCGAGTAATTCAGACCTAAAATTCATCTAAATCATAAGGCTTCTCTATTCACTTTGAGCTGTCTTGTGGTAAAAGCCAGAAGACTACCCTGTCCACCTTGCCCAGAAATTAATTATCCCTTGAAAATGAAAAGCCACCCCAGGCCTTCTGAGGAACAATAAGAACTGTTTCCACCTACAAAATTAACATGACTGCCCAAGGAAATAAGCATTCTTCAAAGTCTAGCACAACAGCTCCGTGAATAGTATCTTTGCATTATACAGAGAAAACTTGAAGAAATAACAGCTCAGCTTTTCAACTTTTGAAAACAACTGAACACGACTTGTCCAAGGAAAAACTGAGTTGCTCATTGGGTTTAAGAGACGTGCAATAATCTTATGCAACTCCTTATTTTTCTTAAAAAACCCAAACAAACACAAACTACACAACCAAAAAAACTAGTCCTATAAAGAGCAAAATGTTTTCAAAATTTAGTGAACAGTTTATATATATTTACTCTCCTCTCTTCCCTAAGAAAGTCATGGAGCTGTTTATGTGAAAGAGGACACCTTGGAACTGATGGTCCTGTTAAAGAGTGCTGAGTTACAGCAGACAGTCTGAAGTACAGTACCAATAACATCCACATTAACACCAAAGGTGTTTATCATGATTAATGTTAATGCAATCAATAAATATGAAAAGAATTAATAATGACTAGGTCTGTAATCTTGAAGGATTCCCCTGTGAAATAAAGCACAATCAAGTGTTTATTATATTGGGTTTCTAACAGATTTGAGAGCTTGAACGAAGAAACAACATGGGTTTATAGCATAATCCCCCAGAGCACGCCCAAGGCTAAATTCTGAGATACACAAATTTGCCACTGGCAAAGCTACACATGCAGTTAACCTGTATTTACACAGGCAAATGAGGTAATGGGATAGTAAAGAATAATATGAATTTACATATGAATAGCTAACACCAAACTGTGCGATTACTTAGTTTGCAGGAATATTCTGCACAAAAAACAGGTGCAGACAAAACCAAGAAACCCACATGTGAGAATATATTCCCCTAAAAATATGAAAACTTATTTTAGTGCCAGACCTGTTGTCTCCTGTCATATGGCTCTTACAGCGAGTAATGTTTTCCTTCACCCACACTTATTGATCTCAACTGGAATATTTACAGCGTGAGGAATGGCGTTCCACATCCAGGCCCATGTAGAGATTGACTTCATAGCCAAAAGACAGCACTGGAGGTCATGAATACAGAGAACCATCTACTCATAAAGCCAATGCGTTACTCTTGCTCAGATACAGAAATCTGGATCACGCCACAGTGGATTCCCATGCTGCTGAGGGGCTGTGCAATGGGAACACTTCATTCGTTAATTCCTTCATGCAGATAAGTATGGGACAGTGAGTATTCCCAGAGAGAGGCTTCAAAGTGGCTTTGGCTTAGGATCAAGTGTTCCCTCTGTATATGCTATGAATATAGCTCAGCTTTTGGGCAAGTTTCTGGGCTTCACATTAAAGGTAATACATTTTCAATAACCACACATATCCTTTTTCAGCAAAGTACCAAGTATCATTGGTAACTGGCAAAAAAATTACCAGTATCTGACTAGTTTCTAATATTGAGAACATTTCAGAACAATCTTATTAGCTATTCATCTCCTAAGCTGCCTGTGACACTCTTCGTCATCTTCTTTCAACAAAGATAAAAGACTTGTCAAGTTATCTTTTTTTGGAAGATGCTGAATCTCTTTCTTGATATGATTCTCCTGCACCAAGTACTGCAATATCTAGGTTGAATATCCCAGTGAGAAAGCTACTGCTTGAGAAGCAACCTATTTTTATTGATATATTGATCTATCCATCAATAAATATCTGGAGCTATGTATATGTCAATTATAGCTAGGCATAAATAGTCAAATAAAATTGATGTTAGATTTTGCAAAAGCTTGCTTTGATTTCAATGAAAATTTAAGTCTACACGGTCCTGTTGCCACCCGTTCAAATAAAATATGTAGTGTGACTCTCCAGTGTCTCAAGTACGATTTTTAAAAATATAGCAGAGTGGAACTGCATTAGAAAAATTACTTGAAAATGTCTAAATTTCCAGGCACACTTTCAGACTGAGAATAACTAGTACACTCCTTGTAATGCTATGAAGTGGGAAACATGCTTTTTGTGAAAATTGTTATTGAAACATGAAGGGGAAGGAAACAGCACGGAACATTTAGCTCCACAGGGCTGAATGCTAATACTGCCAAACAAACCGAATAAAGGATTAAAATCTTCTCTCTTGACACTGCACCACGTTTGCTACAATAGCCTCAGGACTGAAGTTGTCCTTGGGGCTCTTTTTTCCATGATATGCTTACGAAAATAATGTGTGCTGGATTGGGGTAACATGCACTTAATTATGCTAGTAAATGAACATCATTCCTGAACACTTAGAGACTGTTTGATACACAGAGAGTTAGCTGCTGGAGAAAGTGCTGTTATCTCAGATGCAGGCTCTTCTACAAAGTGAGTGCATGAGTTGCAGAGTTCGCCTCTGAGTCAGTCTGACTGGATTATTCTTTGAACAGAAATATAATTGCTACAACATACACACATACAAAGTAAAGCCTATATGACACGTCAAACCATCACGTATGTGTATCTATTCCTTAGCCAAGTAGAACTTCTGTTGGCTCTAGCAGAAGAGGTGATTGGTAAAAAACATCAAACCGAGGTCTACATATTTTCTTACATCTTTTTTCCCACCCTCACAAACAACAGCTCTATTAAATCCTTTTCCTAGTTATCCAAATCTTTCAACTGTATCTTATGAACTGACTAAAAGCTCTAATTCAAACATGTAATTTTTTGAAATACAATAATTTGAAATCCTAGTGGCATTCCCTTCTTGATCCTGAAATATCCAAGTTATATTTTGTTCCATCTGTGTTAAAAAATCCACACACATATATATACATGTATATAAAAGGACTTAAATGCTATCTTGCCATTCAAAACTCTGTTGCAATTTAAACTTAAATTTAAATAAAATGCAAGCTTACTGAATTTCCAACACTGGTGGGCCGATTGCCAGTAACAAAAAAGCGACATTTTAGAGTAAAATCTCTTCTAAGTTAGTTTGGCATGGCACCTAAACAGAATAAAAAAAACCCCTAATTTTGTGTTCAGTATGCTATTTTTTAAAATAAAGAGCATAGCCAATGCAACTTGAAATAAATAATTTACATCTAGTCTATCAGCTTGTATAAGCACTTCCAGCAAAGCCAGAATTGAAATGGTTATAGTTACAAATGCGTCCTTAAAATGTGTTCTCTGGAAAATGGAAGCAATGGTAAGTCCTTAAATAACTACTAGTTGCTGTAATTTAGAAAAAAAAATAATCTATAAGTAAGAACAAGTTTAACAACAGATGCAGGTATAAAAAAGAAACTGCAAAAAACGCCACCCAACCTTACTGAGATTGAACTATTGCACTACGAATAGGAGCATTTTCTTACTTATTTCTCCCTTTTGCTTCCTGATAGTAAATCATAACAAATCACCCTCATAGACCACAAACTGATGAGCCAAATTGAAAATAAAAATAGTATAAGATCACTGGAGACTTCAGTAACAGTCTAACTTTGCTCCCATTTAAATTACTGGGTAAACAAAGTCAGACCGATGTTATTTCTTTTTAAATGCTCAATATTGTGCATAAAGAGTGGGTAGTACCCCTTGAAATAATCAGAGGTGTATTCTAGGGTCCTTCTCATCTTCTATAACTTAGAAACTACCAGGGTCCTTCATTCCCCATTCCAACAAAATAGCCAGGAACCTGCCATCTGATCAGAGGTCAGGGAGAAAAATCTAGTCCATAAGAACCTCAGGTTTTCCCCGCACATGAGCCACAAAGAAAGTATTTACAGATTTATTAATGCATTCTGGATATTTGGCATCCCTTCCAGCAAGCTTTTTGTACTAATCCACATCCAAATCAGGATTAACAGCTGATTCCAGGGGAAAAATACATCATTAGGCAACTTGAGCGCCTCACCTATAAATGTCTGTGTAGCTTTGAAGACATAAGCTATTATTTCTTGTTTATGTGGAGAATAACATGCTGCTGGCTGCTCCTCAAATCCTTTCTTAGTTTCAGGATGCTGATGAAGACTGAGGGACGGTAGGATACAAATTCTCTGTCACAAAGGGTAAGGAATAAGGTTAAAGTCTGGATTTCTTCCACTGAAATGTTCTGCTCCTTCCTCATCAAGTGGTCATGTTAACCTCAGTGCAATTTTTTTGGTCTTTGTCACCTTTAAACGACAGTCCCAAAACATTCATTAATTCATTACAGAAAGGTAATGGAATCACAGGAAAAAAAGCCTTGAAAACTTAGAAGAAGTTTCAACAGATCAACTACAGGTCTTTTTGTTTGGTGCTCATAATCTCAGAAGCAGGAAGGATAAAACGTGATCATGAGACCCGCCATCAAGTGAGCCTGGCCTCAAATTTTCAATAAATCTTTTTAGTCACTTTTGGATAACAATTCTGCTCTTGCAAATTATTTTTCCTTCCTAGCACAATTATTCATCCCAGACTTAAAACTGAATTATCTTGAGATGAGTGACAGCACTTTTTAAATATATCCAGGAAACTATTCAGAAGGAAATAAGGGTAAAATGGGGGGAAAAGAAATATTATTGACTGGATTTTAAAGAATATTCTCCTCTGCAGTGCAGATAAGAGAGTCTATGCTGTTCCTTTTCTTGATAAGGTTATAGAACATCACTTCATTTACATCTTCTCTGTAAACATTAGCCAATCTCCCTCTCCCCTCCACTACATTATACACACTTCAGTCTGCTAACAGTATTTTACATT